ACACGCACACACACGCACACACACGGCGCGTACATGCATGCCGTCGTGGTGAGCAAAAACACGGTGCGCTCTCATATGTTACACATGGGTGCAGAGGATGGGGGGAAAATGGAGGGACAAGGTGACATTGCTGGAAAGGTATCCTCCTTCCTTTCTCTCTCTCTCTCTCTCTCTCCGTCATACACACCCACAAACAAAAACACACATAACTGCACGCACCCACAAAAGACACATGGGAGACACACACACCGGGAGGTGCCACACGGCGAGTCACGATGACAGGAGCGGAGGGTCGTGCCCACACACACACACGGAAACGGGCGTCGATCAGATCTTCTCATTTATTTAACAGTCACCAGGTGATAAGATACATTCTCTTTAAAAAAGGAAGAAATAAAACAGCAAAATTGATATTTTTTTCGTTAAAAATTATTATACAATTTTCTCAATATAGATTTTGTACAAAATAAAAGGTCATTAAATTATAACTGAAGTATGATTCAGTAACAAAGACAGGAAGTGAGGGGGGGGGTCAGGGTTCAATGGGATGCTACCACACTCAGGAAGTCAAAGACCAACTTTTTCATTAATAAATATTTGTATGCTATTCGTATATATTATGCATATGCAGCTTCATATATAAATACCGGGAAGGTCCTCTGTTGGATTTTGTATTTCTCTACACCACTGCGGTACAAGGTTGATGCGCACACACTTACACGTCAAAGGGTCAAAGGTTACACTGAACCCCGTATCTGCCCCAGGAGGCAAATGAAGAACAACTGGGGGGAGTCACAAAATCTGCCCCTCAAGGTTCAATGGGCTTAACCTGTACTAGTGAAAATAAAGACCCATCACTGAAAGAAGAGGCATTATCCATCATCGGCAGGTAACACTTGGCCTGATCCTTGGCCTCACCGAGCCTGGGCACCCAGAAAACGCGTGTCCTCCCCTTGTTGGTAGCACTGTTCATTAGCATCAGAGGCGGGGGGGATATATTAGTTCCCAGAGCTGAGCAGGGCAGACCTGTAGAGGTCTTCTGTGGTCGCAGTGGTTTGTGTGCACGTCCAAGATGGTCTGGATGAGAGCCATTAGTTCCACCTGTTGCGTAGCCGCTTTGTCACCCCCCAGGGCGAACGACTCTGCTTCTTTACACAGAGAACAATGAGGATAAAGAACGACATCAAAGCAAAGATGAGTGTAACGACGACAAGGTCAGCACTGTCTGACGAGAGCCACAGTTCGGTCGCGTTTTTTTTTTTTTCTTTTTCCACTCAATGGACCGGTAAACAAAGTCAAAACCACAACGCAGCCGGCAGAACACGAGAAAAGCGTGGCCTAAACGCAGACAGGAAGGACGGGGGCAGTTAGGGCACCCCAGCCCCTCACTACGGGGAACTCGGTGAGATGTTGGTTTATGGAATGGGAAGCCAATTAAGTCACAAATAAGAAGGGAGAAGGAAAGGTTCTACTGGGCCTTCAGAGGACTTGTGCACCTTCCGCACCCTTTCTGTTTAATCAGGTGGGGGTGAGGTGGGGTGGGGCGCCGGCTACATTACTGCAAGATGACTTAGCGTTAATCACTCCCTTCACTCAGCGCATTACGCGCAGCGGACGTGGGCTGGGGGTGCCACCACTGCATTAAATTTGCAATAATGATACATCACTACTGGGTCACTTTGGAGATTAAAAGCGAGACGCGGAATTTCAATGGGGTGACGTCAGCGGCAAGCTAGCGGCGCGGAGGTGCTGGGTGCGAGGCAGACACGCTGGGTCGCGGCGACGTGCGGAGTGTCGACGCTCGAGCCTGATGGATATGCCCGGGGGCGCCCCCGGCAGGCGGAACGTGCCGCACGGCAGAGCGACCTCCCCTGGTGGCATCTGCGTGACTCCCAGCATCATACATATAAAGTGCTAGAAAGTTCCGGCTTGACGGGAGGCCTTGGTAGATGGCGGTAACACTGGGATTGTCATCACAGTACGACTGACTCGACAGACTGGAAGGACGTGAACCATAAGCACAGTGACCGGGGGCAGAGGGCTTGGGGTAGATTGAGGGGATGGGGGGGAAATTGGGTGGGGGAGAGGCGGTTAGATTGTATGTGTTTCTATCACATTGTTTTCTCATGTGGCCTAGAAGTCACAGTCAAGCAGACAGCTGGGTATGTCAATCTGAAGGACCCCCCTTGCCAACCGCTCCTCGTCATGTGTGAGGTCTCTCCAAGCGTTACCAAGGGAGGGTCAGCCAGGCACCCAGTTCTGATTATTGTGGGCCTGGGGGGGGCCCGCCAGGCCACTCATTCCCACCGCCATGCCCATGCCCATGCCCATGCCCATTCCCATACCCATACCCATGCCCATCCCCTGGGACAAAGAGCTGTCGAAGTTGAAGTCCATCTCCTCAGAGTCCATGAAGTCATTGAGGAGGATCGACTCCACATCGCAGTCCAGGCTGCCCTGGAAGATGTCCAGGTCCAAGTCAGCGGGCAGCCGATCATGTGGGTGATGGGCGTGGGGATGGTGCGGGTGATGATAACCATGGTAGCCTCCGCTTCCACTCTGTGGGTGGTGGTAGTGTCCATGTCGGGGGTCCTCCATGCCCTGGTGGTGGCCCCCGGAGTAGGGCTGGAGTCGGGGGTGCGGGGCTGTGGCCAGGTGGCAGGAATCCTGGGGCATCCCCAGCATGCCAGCCGGGTTAGGGGGCAAGGAGGTGGAGGCAGGTAGGTGGGCGTGGCCTGAGGGGCTATATAGGTCAGGGGCTTTGAGGCTGTAGGGCTGCAGAAGTCCACTGTTCATCTGGGGTGTGAGAGCCGGTTGCTGACCTGGGCGAGTGTGCGCATGGTTGTGGTTGTGAGTAGGGTTGTGGTTGTGGTTGTGAGTAGGGTTGTGGTTGTGAGTAGGGTTGTGGTTGCGATTGGAGCTGTGGTTGTGGTTGGCAGTATGGCTGTGACTGTGACTGTGGCTGGGATTATGACTGGCACTGTGATGCACATTATGCCCGGGGTTGGCATTGTGACTGGGATTGTGGCTTGGGTTCTGGTTATGGCCGTGGTGGAGGCCGGCGCTGTGGCTGAGGGAGTGGCCTGTGCTGGAGGGACCCATCAGGGGGTGTGACTCTGCCTCTGGCCTCAGCATCATGTCCTTGCTGCAGTAGCGCGGCCCCCCGGTGAGCAGGTCCTGCAGGGCGTTGGAGCTGCCGTAGCCCCTCATTGAGCCCTGAAAGCTGGCAGCTTTGTTTTCCTGAATGGTCTGCATGGGCGAGTGGTGCCGCAGCAGCCCCATGGCCGGCTGGCTATACACGGAGCCACAGTACGAGCCCTGGCCTTTGCTGCCGGACCCGAAGTGGAAGCTGGGACGCTTGTGCCGGGGGGGCTGGTGGTACCCTTCTTCCAGGAGCCTCTCCTCCAGGCTGATGGCCCCCGTCAAGTCAGCAAGCTGCGGGAGCTCCACTGAAGGACAGTGCCCGGCGGCTCCCAGGGCAGGCGAGCGGGCGCTGGATGGGCTGGGGTACAGGTGGGGGGAGGCGGAGCAGGAGAGAACACCCTCCTCAGGCTCCTCCAGCTCGGCTTCGGCCAGGATGGGCGACAAGCGGCCGCTCAGGGTGGAGGTGGAAGAGCTGGCCCGGGAGTGGATGTCCGTCCAGGCATCAAACTCCTCAGCACCTGCTCCCACCCCCACCGCCTTTCCGCTGGGGCTGCCCTCCTCTGCGACGGACCCCTGCAGCCCAGGCGCGGCCCCAAGCCCCGGCCGCCCCGCTGCCTTCTTCCGGCTGACCCGCCCCTTGCTCTTCAAGTATTTGGAGTTATTGTCCATGGAGACGGCCCGGCGCCGAGGTGCCTTCCCTGCCTTGCCTCCCTCTGGGTTCAGCATCCACCAGGAACTCTTCCCGGTGCCCTCGTTCTGGACGCGGATGAAGCGAGTGTGCAGGGACAGGTTGTGCCGTATGGAGTTCTGTGGGGGGGGGGACATGGAAAACTCCGTCAGAGACGTCACTGGAGATTACAGCACGGAGGTGGCACTACACCAGCTAGGCTCACGTCTAGAAAATCTGCACAGTGCGGAGGTGGTGGTGGAAACAGTCAAGGGAAACCTTGACGCTTGCACTCTATTGACATGAAAGACTATTCATTTGGCTCCAGCCTCAGACAGTGAGGACGAGGGTAGCCTGGACTGGCGTTGTATGCTTTTAGCCACGGTGGCTGTGCCAATTTGGGGGGGCTGAGGCAGTGCTGGGCTCTAATGGTGCGAGCATCTAACCCATAGCTCAGCAAGGCCGGCTCCACTCCGGCACTGAGAGGCCCAGGGGACCACGAGCACGCCAGATTAATGGCAACTGCTACTTCCCTCTTTCCGTCTCTCTCTCTTTCTCTCCCTCCCTCATTAACCCTCTCTCCGTCAGCAGCCCTCTCCTCCTCCATCTAATCCTCTTTCGCTGTGCTCTCCCCTCTCCTCCACATCCCCCTCTTTTCTCACACTCGCTCTCTCTCCAGCTTGGTCTCATTCTCCTGGCATTCCCGCTCTTGCCGTCTCTGAATACATCCTCTTATCACCTCATTGTAAGACTAGCCTCGCTCGCTGGCGGGAAACAACGGCCGTCCAATCGCTGCCTGCGAACGGAGCCACAGATTTGCATTAAAAAGGGAGCCAAATCAATTTCGGCGCGCTTGCAGCGTCAATGTGCGTGTCTCCCTCTATTCCATCCCTTTTTCTACATTCTGTTATGCAGTTCAAGCACATGGGCTGTACTTAGTTGTTGCTTTGAGCTTTTATATTGCCCAACCAAGAATAGAGCTAAATAGGCACCAATTATCACTGGGAAATGCCGGGAGGAAAGCAAATTAATGTCGCAACCCCCCAAATCACTACGTGCACAACGTCTAAATGCTTCCTCCTCACAAATCTTGGTCAGTTTTAGGAATTATTCTACAGCTGCTGAATGCCATGGAGTGAAAAATATACTCTAGACAGAATGTTTTGGTTCAATGCTGTCATGACAATAGCTGGCATGCATGTTTATCTTCTCACCTCATATCTTCTGCAAAGCTACCTTAGAAAACTCCACGGGCACCAATGAAGGAACAGCAATGACAAAGACCCAGGCAGAAAAACGGAGACAACCCCCCCCCCCCCCCCCCCCCCCCCCCCCCCCCCCCCCCCCCCCCCCCCCCCCCCCCCCCCCCCC